CATTTGATTATAACTTATAGTGTAATTAAATTTTGTATTGAATGATTGTCATAAACATTTAATTATTTATTTTAAAAAAAATATAAAGCCTTAAATATTTTTCCACCAATAAGGAGAGAGTGAAACCTTACTTTTATATATATGATTTTCATTTTTATTTCTAACTAAACATTTATGTTAATCTTATTTCCAAATAATCATATAATTAGGTAACAATTAAAATAAAATTATTATGAAAAAATTATTTTGAGTAAAATTATTAATTGGGATCCAAAATTCATTTGTGTAAAGCAAAAGATATAACTAAAGTTATTTTCCTATAAATATAACTTGACATCTACTTATGAATCCAATTTTTAATACCTAAAGTTCTTTTGCCAAAAAAAATCAGATTATTTTATAATAAAATTTCATATTATATATATATATATATGATTTACAATCACATAATTAAAACATCTATTTTACATAACTTTTTACATTTTATTTAAATCTTATTACATTTTTATTACATTTTATGAATTAATGAACTTCACTAAAATTCTATTAAATTATAATATTTAATAAGGTATGAGTTATACACTAATATCATATCCAATCTATGCTCTACACTAATATCATATTTAATCATTTGTTCTAAATAATAGTCTTTCTTTTCATAACAATATAAATATCTAACCCAAGTTAGATTTTCCTAGAGAGACCGAACATAAATTCGATTACTTAAGAGCATTTCATGATTGTTGTCATGTACATATAATAGACCGATATATTCGTTCATCTTCTTTGTTAATGTTGATGTAAACATGTGATGCCTTTTTAATATAAATTCATTTCTTTAGCTTTTATAGTTATGTCAATCTTTATGTTTGTTCTTAAATCGTTTCAGTATTAATTTTATTCTTGAACAAATTCTACATAAAATAATTTTTAATATATAAAAAAGGATCTCATCTACGGATATGTGAGCTTCTTTTCTAATCAATTAGAATGAAAAATATCAAAACTCTTTTTTTTTTCAAATAATCTTCATCTGTTGATTTGGCTTTTGCTTTATCTTTTTATTGTTTACATAATTATAGATCAAAAGCTCTTATATCTCAGGTGAAATATTTTCTAAATTGAATTTTTTTTTCTAAGTAAGGTCTAAAAAAATCATATATCGTACGTGAAATATGACTTTTGTTTACTTTTAATATTAACAATGTACACACAAAAAATTAACATCAATTTACAATTGCCTACTATATTATGTATGTGCTAATTTGTATCACTTTGTTTTGATCTCATTCGATTTCATATTTTTCAAATATATATTTTATTTACTTTTATTGTTTATAATGTACACAAATATGTTTTATATTAACAGTTACTCATAAACTACATATCTTAATGTAGTTTTCAATTTTTAATTCAAATTAATATTTCATATATAACCCACGCATCGCGTGGGCAACTTTCTAGTATATATATATATACTAACTCGCAAGTAATATGTAAACGTAATAATAGAGAATAGTCACTTATTATATGATAGGTTTATTTGGAATCACTTTTCCAACTCCAATTACCAAATGACCTTTGATATCACACTTTTTACAAAAGTACCAAATAGTTCTATTACCTATGATAGGTTTATATTGAATTCCATTTATCAGTTTTTTTTTGTTTCGTAGTTTGATTTGATGATGGAAACACAATGCTATTGCTCCCACTATTTAGTTAGGTAATACATACAATGATACAAGTATATGGTATTATTCGTATTAGTTTAATATTAATCTATTTATCTAATATGTATTCTTACAGTTTGTTTCTTGTTGGGAATGATATATTGAATAGTATACAGTTTTCATTCAAATCTTTCAAAACTCCAGCTTGCTGGGTATGTTTTCTTGCTGCAAATGTTTCCTGACACTTTTTTGTTTTTCTTTCAAATCTATCAAAACTCCAGCTTCATGGGTATGATTTTTTCAGTCACATTTTTCAACTATGAGTAGCTTTTTCTTTTTCTTAAAAAAGTTTTGCTATTTTCAATAATCTGTAGATTTAAAGTAAGTTTTATATATTGTTGATTCAATTACAAGAGATTCTGAGTTATTATATTAAATGATTTTATATAATATCAAGTTGATTAACATAGGATTTATTAAGATTTTTTAAAATCATAAGTTGAATAAACCAATTAAAAAAGTGAATTTAATTACTAATACCCTTAATTAAATTTTCTAAAATAACAAGGTGGGTGAATACACCTCCTTTAAGTAGATTTTTCTTAAAAAGTTGTGATCGCTCCTTTCAACTAGTTCTATATAAATAATATAATGCATTGAGTTGAACAGAGAGCAGAAATCAAAAGAAACTAAATCATGAAAAACAAAAGAGAGATGATGAATAGCCTAAAACTTAAAAGACTTCTTATTGCACCGGTCTATCTCTCCCTCCTCCTCCAATCTCTTGCAGGTTAGTGTATTTAGATCCTTAAAGCTATATTTATCCATACACTTCTGTATACTTATCTTATTTCATTTCCTAGTGCAAGGTATAATCAGAGTCGGTTTGACGATGAACTATTCTTCATTCGACATCAATGGAGTGCGGTTGAGCAATATCAATGATAATATCTATATTGGAGAAATAAAAGTTGGTACTCCAAGTCAGCGTTTCAAAGTGGTGTTTGATACTGGAAGTATCAATCTTTGGGTACCATCTACCAAGTCAATGGGCAGCAAGCATAACCTTTACGTTTCGAGCAAATCAAGTTCTTATAAACCAATTGGTAAATTCTCAAATCTGCTTTTTTTTTAGTCTGTTTTAAAAAATAACCATTAGTTTAAATCCATTTCCAGTTTCCCATCATCAAGTTGATTGATAATTTGCCAAACCAATTTGTTTTTTTTTTGGAATTTCTTTGGTAGTAATAATATTCTTTAATTTCACTGAAACGTTGGACTTGAACAAAAGTTGGCTATATGTAATAGAAAAATATTTATGTGTACAACAGGAAGAAATGTAACCCTCGAATACGGGACAGGTTCTCTAAGAGGTATTCTAAGCAGTGACACTATCAATGTTGGTGGCATTACAATAACAAATCAGTGCTTCACAGAGGCTCTTGCTACCAGGACTGGTGATGATCCACTTCTGAAAGCTCCCTTTGATGGTATATTGGGACTTGGGAACCCTCAAGATTCTGCGACAAGAACTCTTTCTGTTTGGGAGTCAATAAAAACGCAAGGCAGGGTTGAGAAAAAAATATTTTCCATCTGGCTTGGGAGACCTTCTCTCTTTAAAGCCGAAGGGGAGATAACGTTCGGAGGGATAGACCGATCACGTTTCAAGGGACAACATATCTATGTAACCGCGACCGGGGAGAAATACTTCTTCCAAATGAACAACATATTAGTCGGCTCACAAGACACGAGTGTTTGCTCAAGAGGGTGCCAAGTTTTTGTTGACTCGGGGAATTCAAACATTCATGGTCCAGCGGTAAGAGACAAATAGCCTTTAGATTAATTGTTGCATGCATGATTAGTACTTGTTAAGTTTTGTTTATGTTATTGTCATATATAGGCTTTGATCAAGGAAATTAATAGGAGAATCGGAGCAGCACCAAATTGCTCAAATGTTAAGAGGCTGCCTGATGTAACCTTTACAATAGGTGGGAGTAGTTTCTCAGTCAGTAGTCGTGATGTAAGTCTTATTTGACGGTTTTTGTTTTTCCGATTCGTTTAGTTTCTCTTTTTCTTACTTCTTTTTTTCATTTTTTTTTTCAGTATATTTATCGGGTGACAAAAAATAAGTGCACAAGTAGATTCGTGGAGACAAATGATATTTACTGGTAAGTTTTTCATTATGTCATAATCTTACTAATTTTTCTTGGTTTTTAAGAAGAATTGTTTTTAACTGCTTGAGGCCGTTTGATTGTAGGACACTTGGGATGCCCTTCATGCGTGCCGTTCATACGGTGTATGACTTTACTACTGAGCCAACGGTGAAGATTGGCTTTGCTAAGTCGGCTTAGATTCTCACTAAAACTAAGTGTTTAATTATGACTATTTCTGATACATATCGATGATAATATGAAGAAGATCACTAATTAATGTAATGGAACAAGATCAGTAATGTAATGGACATAATAAATCTCATCGTCAAAGTACATTGATCTTTAAATTCTCATATTTTGCTAATAGTAATTCTAAATTGTGGTTACTTGGTCTATAATCATTTTTTGTTAAAATGATTTGATCTTTAGAATTGAAAAATGTCTAAGTTTAATTAATTATGTACAAGTCAAGCATCATATACCTGAAGAATTTGGTGGGTAGCTGAGAGATAAGGAGATTTAAGCATTTTGAAAAACCATACTATATGAAAGCACAATGTTGTTGCCCCCACAATTTTGTTATGAAAATGATATTAGTGTTGTTCAAAATAGAAAATGTATTATTCATATTAGTATGATGTTAATTTTTTTATTTAACCTTAAGAACTTAAATTCTAGTTTATAGTGAATCATAATTTTTGGAAGTTAGCAATGTATTCTTATTATAACGGTTCGACCAAAAATCGTCAATTACGAACCGGGTCATTGGTCAAACATTTTTAATCTCTTTAACTAGTTTTGACTTTTTGTTAGGGGAAAAACCTATCAAGTGCTAAAGTAATTAAAAAAAAAAAAAAAAAAAAAAAAAAAAAAAAAAAAAAAAAAAAACAAGGATATCCCACCTATCCAATTTGTCTGTCTCTTATGGAAATGAATCCATTTGTTCTAAAAACTTGTTATTGTGAGATTCGTGTCACTTTTTAGATTGGAGTAGGGTGGGCTTTCTTTTTAATGTTTATTTTGGTTATTTAAATAGATGAAGATTCTCTGGCTTTTAATAGAGAAGAATCACTTTTGACTGAAAAATTATGTGAGCAATTTCTTTGTAGTGAACACACTCAAAGACCGTCGGATGAATGCTCCTTCTCCAATGTCAAATGGATCAGGCTGGTCTAAACTTTCTCTAAATCTCCTGAACAAGGTATTCAAATGTCTTGGGTTTGCAGAACTAGCTGAATCAGCATGTCCATCTCTGCCAAATGCTTCAAGAAAATCATCACCAAACAGTCAAACCCCTTGGCTGATTCTATTTCCAGAAAAAGGTAAAGATTATTGTTTATTGTTTAATCCTCAAGATAAAGAGAAGTTGCAAAGAATTCAAGATCTCGGTGATAACTTTGCAAATAGTCATTGTTTGGCTATTTGTGGTAGTTGGCTCTTTATGCGAGATCTTCGATATAATCTCTACATTATGAATCTACTCACACGCGAGAAGATTGATCTTCCCTCGGTAGAGTCTCAGTTTGGTAGGATAAAGATTGAAAGAACCATAGATGATATGTTTCATATAAAACTTGATGGCGAATATTTTGGAGATCCTGATAATCACATCGATATTTACTACCCTTCATTATGGATAGACGAAAACACCAAAGATTATGTGGTTACATGGTATCTCCGTTACTCAAGACAATATCTGGTTTATTCTAGAAAAGGAGATAATCTTTGGAAACATGCTAGTTTATGGAGTCATGACATGCTAATCTATGATATGGTACACAAAGATAATAAGATCTATTTGTATAGCGACTCTCGTGATGTCAAAGTCTTGGATTTTTCAAGAGATGTTCCGCGGAAAATCTTTAAAACGAAAGTTAACTATGATGTTTGGGCTAAGGGACTGCCACGTCGTCTTGAGCCTGGTGATGTCTGGGATATGAAAAAAGAACATCTTGTAGTCACGCTAACTGGAGAACCCCTCAGAGTTAGGAGCATTATTAGAAGTGATTCTGATGTTTGGTATTTCCGCATTTACAAAATGAATTCTTCAAATACCGAATGGGAGAAGCTTACTTGTTTGGGAGACGAGGCAATAATTTTGGATCAACGCATCACCGTGCTTGCCAGCGCCACTGAGGGAATTAAGAGAAACTCAATATATTTCAGTGGCTACCGTTCTGATCATCAACGTGATTGGAGTGAAAAAGATATATTTATCTTCAATCTGGATACAAACGAGGTTCAAAGACCACATTTACCTGTTTGTTCATCCATTCGATCATCCAATGCCCGATGGTTTTTATCAAATTCCAAAGAAGTACATAACTAGTGTGATCTAGACTCTGTTTTCTATTTTCAATGCTTTTTGTTTAATTCTCTATAAACATATAATGTTGGACTTGTGTGTCTCTTTTCTTTTGTATGTGTGAAAGTAATATATATGAGATGATATAAATTTCAAATAAAGGCTGATGGTAAGTATATGTGGATTAAGAACAACTTAAACCCCGGACGAAGTCAGTATATAGTACAGTCTCTAACTCAATGGTCATTTTCTTCTCTCTTCTTCCAAATTATTTCTTACAATAGGTAAATTCAGTATTGCGCAATTTACAAGCCAACTTTTTTTATATGGCATATAACATAAAATCGTAGAAATCAAATTTGATTTATAAGTCTCTTGTGGACCTAAAGGTTGTATGACGTTTGCTTCATTGGTTGGATGGTACTGGAGATTGAAAAACAAATACTGAAGAGTTGCATCGTTTTTTTTATAATAATTTCGTATGCATACGCGTCAAAGGAATATTTTGAGGCATTCTTCCAGGACCTCTCAACAATCATTGTACGCATTCACGTACACTGATTTTGAAAACTTTCACTGGAATATCTCCAGAGAAATCAAAAATCTTGAGTTTATCATAGTTGAGGCAATGAAGCTTGTGATCTTTGTATACCATGCTAAAACACTCTTCGATGCCTGACAACTGAGGAATCTGTTTCCACGAGTTATCTCCTTTCTTGAAAGAAACCGCATCTTCTTCGTCAACCATTCCTATAACTAAGTAATCTTTGGTTTCCTCGTCAATCCGCAATATTGAAGAGGTGAGTCCATATTCTGATACGAAAGGTGGTAGACTGATTCTATCTCGGGTTAAAAGATCTAACATATAAAGATTATATTGATGGTCTTCCAAGTTTATATATTGCGGTTGCATCAAAAGCCAGCTTTGGTAAGTAGCCAAACAAAATGCTTTCGCAAAATCGTTTCCTAGATCTTGAGTTTTGTAACCAATTCATTATGTAATAGTTTTAAAATAATGACCACAAATATAATAATTTATATTTTTTTTCAAAAAAGCATTCTTACATGTAATAATTTAATATTACCTTTAATTTATGCGACTTTATACTTTATTTTTTAAAAAAATATCTTTTTAAGAGAGGTTGATCTTACATGAAGAACAGGAAAAAAAAGCATGTTCTTAAGACCCTTGTTGTTCACGAAAAAACTAAAAAGAAAGAAAGTATAATTACACATCCAAAACTCAAAACAAAGTACGAAAAAATAAACTCGATCATCAAAATGAAAACTCTTATTGCCTATTGTCACCGTTGCTCGTAGCCACATTATTATTATTGGTGTTATTGTTCTGATGACTGGAACCGTTCATAATGGACGTAATTGCTGCTGCTAGAGCCGCTGCAAAGTTTGGATCAGAGGCAATCGCTGCACTGGCGGCACTAACGCTCTCGGACACCGAGGAAGTTGCCGGGATCTGCAGCGGCTGAGCCGGTAACTGTAAACCAGAAAACTTGGACTGTTGTTGGTTGTAGTACAAAGCTTGACCGACCACTTGAGGCAAAACTGCCGGGTTGAAACCGGGTCGTTGAGCGAACTGCATCAACGGGTTATTAGTGGTCATATTGGGAGTGTTGCCGTTGGGTGAATTGGTGAGGTCCAATGTGATGGTTGGGAATGGTGCGGAGGCTGAGATTGTGGCCATGCTTGAGGAGCAAGGTAAGATGGCTCGAGCTAGGAGGTTTGTTGGGTTCATTAAACCGTCTTGGCTTGACATTGAGCCTGAGAGGAGCATGCTTGCGGCTGCGGTGGTTGTTGAGGCCATGGCCATTGCGGCTGGAGGGAGTGGATGGTTATGGTTTCCTTCATAGGTGGTTATGAGAATAGATCTGTCTTCTGCGCAACGTTGCACCTGTGAAGACATCATTGGTTAAGGCTTCGTTTTTTTCAAAGGCAACTAATGGTTTGATCTTATATTTTTGTATGTTTGTTGTTGTTGCCGACATAAAATGTAAAAGCATACGTACTTGCTTACGAACAGGACAGGCACCGGCCATTGTGCAGCGATAATAAGCTCGCGGACACGGGTTTCCTTTAGCCATTTTTTGTCCGTACTTTCTCCATTGACATCCGTCGCTTATCTATATAAGATATTAACAACGTTAATATTTTATCATCAAGTTACGGTCGAATACGAACTTATGCCTAGCTAGCTACCACTAGAGGGAGATTACCATCGGTGCTTCAGATCTGGCGCGAACTGAGACACGGGCTTTTTGCATGGTGGCTTCTGCAGCCGACTGATCAATAACATTTCCATTTCCGTTGTTATTGTTGTTGCTAGATGATGAGTTATGTTTGGGAACTTTGTTAGGGTTTCCCCAAGCGTTAGACTCGGATTCCTCGGGGCTTTCTTCTCTCCCAAGCAACCTCTTTCCATTCTCTCGGAGATTGGAGCTTTCTAGAAGCGAAGGAGGAGAAGCCGAATGAATCATTGTCCTTTCTTCAGATGACACTTCGGCCTCATGCTCCGCCGCACCAGAAGACGGTCCGAGGTCCATGAACTGCCTTGGCACCATGGTTTGCAGTTCCTGCCGGTTCCTTCCTTCTGCTTTGCCTTCCGTAGCCTAAATAAGTTAAAGAAAGCTTAAACCTTAATACTGGATATATATAAATGCATATTAGTCTTTTGCATTCTTAATAACAAATGGTTAGCTGAGAAAATTAAAAAGAAAAAAGCTGATGAGTTTTACAATTTAATTTGTTAATAAGAATGATAAGCTTCAGAAGAGTATATCATCAGCTATTTTTAGAAATGAATTTCGTCTTTGGGGTTGATTTTGTATCGAAAGCATCTTGAGAAAATCGTATTTTAATATTTAGGTCTCATATGCCCACGTTACGCTACGTAAGGGCCAACTAACATCGAATTTTACAGCCGTCAAAACGACCAAAATATGTAGAGTTGGTAAGAATACATTTTTTTTTTTTTTTTTTTTTTTTTTTTTTTTTTTAACTACCAATTTTATTAATGGGTCATCCCAATTTAAAAATTGGGCCAGGCCTTGAGAAAATACAAAGAAAAAAAGCAGATCCAAAATGGAAATAACAAAACATCTAGGCCCATCACCAAAATTGGGATCTGCTCCTGCTGAAGACCTGAGGCAATGGCTTGAACAGTAAATCCGGCGAATGCGAGTTCGACTCCTTTGCGGTAGAGACCGTGAAGTGTAGACATTGCCAGAAGCATTCAAAATCCGACGCCGGTTCCACTTCCGAGATTCACCTGACCTAGAACAAAACTCCCGATCTGTCCAAACCACCGACAACAGGCTCTACGATGGCGGTCCCATGCCTAGCAACCAAGCCATACTCAGAGCTAACCCCCACTTCCAGATCTGTAGATGCTTGTTATTTCCGAGCAAGGAGCAAACAATTTGGCCGGAGGAAACAGAAGCGGCAATCAAAGAGACCAAAGTTGCTCAAGCTAAACTCTCAAGATCGAACCTCCGCAACTGCCATCTAAGACCCAAAAGGATCTACTGTTAACCCCAAGCAAGCAGCAAAACCAACCAATCCTACCACCGACTTCCGCCGCAAACCGTAGCGGCCATTGGAAGTTTGAGCCGTGAGAGAACACCAAAGGGAACTAATGGCGTCTTCTACCAAAAGTAATCCCTAGACTGGTTCTACTCGACCCTCCAATGATTCAACACCGCCACAGCTGCATCGATGGAGGAAACCTACCCACCGCTGCCGGATACACAACCTTGCTCACATCTGCCTTTCTTTGCACCCCCAAGACCTACAATTAAGCGCAACCCAGAGATCTACTCACCTGACGAAACCAGAACCAGAAAAACAAGCAAGCGACCGACTGGAGAAGGGGAGATCTGCGAATCTGACGGCATACACGACCAGAGACCGATCCCTGAGGCTTACCCAAAGGAGGAAAGCCCAGATCCCCAACACTCAACAAAGCCAACAATCACCGGAAAGAACGACGCTTGGCGAGACACTCTACCCAGATCCGCCGAAGAAACCCGCAAGAACGGTGCTACCTCACACACACGAACCGCTAGAACCTCCAACGACCACCCACAAATACCTCGCCGCAGCCACACGCCAGATCTAAACCGGAACCACCAAACCAGAGCCCAGAAACGGACGGAGGACTGCTACCATCTCTGGAGAGGAAACGTTGAGGAAAGATCTCCAACAAGCAACAAAAAGAAGGGAGACGAGCCCTCTCCGGTGCCGGAAGGGCAATCCGGAGAGGCAAAGCAACGACGATAAGGAAAAAAGTTAGAGAGAAGGGAGAGAGAGATTTGATGAATGGAACGACGACGTCGTTGCTTGCTATCCTCTTCTTTTATGAGATTTGATGAATGGAATGATGATGATGACGCTGAGCGTTTTTAAGTGTGAACTAAGATCTATCTACTTGCACTAGCAAAAACCAAATTTTTGGTAAGAATTTTTGGTAAGAATACTTTTCAATCAAACACTAAGAAAATCACCATTGATCAACAATACAAACATTATTCATGTACTAATGTGCTAAAAACATAGAGAAATTAACTAATACGTTTTGGAAGATATAAATATATATATATATATATATATATATATATTTACCAACATGTATTAACCCATAAACAATATATGTATTTACTAGAGAATTAAAATTTTGATAAGTTTAAGTGATAAAGGTAAATGTAAAATTACCAGGAGATGATCTTGGGAGGAGTTACGTTGTTCTTGTTGCCTCATGACGCCAACAAGTTGATTTTGTAAGGCATTGAAGTTGTTCGTCGCTTGGCTCAACATATCTCTTAGCCTTTGATTCTCTATCTTCATCTTATTCACCTCCTCTTGTAGTTGTGCATTCTTCATTATAACAACCAAAAACATATATGTCGATACTATTAATATTATAAAAAAAGACAAATTTCCAAATTTTAGATTAATCTCCGTATGTACTTTGCTCTTAAGATAAACCAAATATCTCATTTAAATTTTTAAAATTTTCACACAAAAAAAAAAGCTTATTGTTCTCTGACCCAACACCATATACAAAAAATCTCTCATTAAAATCATTAATTGAGTGGAGTTAAAAGCTGAATAAAAATATAT